ACTCAAATTCCAATGAAAATCCAGGACGAGAGACGGAGACGTGGTGACATCACTTCTGCCGGAAGGGCCTTCTTGATACACCCAGGAGTTCCTATAGGATCTGTGAGCTTTTTTTTTTTTCATAACACATGTGAGTGAGCATTTATAGTATTCTTTTATATCAATAAATGAAACCATATCACACGATGGAAGGATTCTTCTTCTTGTTTTATAAACATCGATGCAGAAGCTGAGGTACAAATAGATCATATGAAAACCATCTGGATATCAGGAGAGGCGATACCTGTAAGTTCTGAAGGGGGATACCACCACTGTTTGTGATACCGAATCTGACGTGGAGGATTGAACGGTTGGCTGTGCTTAATAGCAAAAAAGCGGTTTGACCCTGTGGGGTCGCTTCATGAAGGTGAGGGGGCAATCTTACTGGTGAAGGATTGCACTTTTTGTTCACCTACCAGATTTATATTGATCGCTGGTTTCTATGTATCCAGCCATATTGAAGATTACACACATGGACGATTTGTGTATTGTTTATTAATAATTGGTGGCACGTGTTTTTGTGGACTTTGTTATAAATTTTAGTTATGTGTTTATCATAGTATGTCACTGGATTTTCATTTTGGATTCACGCAATATTTTATTTAATTATTTTTTTTTTTTTGTGCTATTTATATAGCAGTATAGTCCCAAGTTTAGGGACTAGCGCACGGCAATTTATTTTGGTACATGTGGGCACTGGTTGAGTGGTGGTCGCACATTTATGTTGAAGGATTTGTTATAGTCCTTGTAGATTTGTCTTATAGTCAGGGTTAATTTATCCTGACCGTCCTATTGTTTGTTTTATAGGCAAAACAGTGCCATTTGTCGGTCTATTTCCACTGCACCTTTGGGCATTCATTTATGCCGAGTGTTTTATCATGTGTGGTTTAATACGTTTGTGATTTCATCCTGTTTAGGGACACAAGTGGGTTTATGTATTGTGTTTGTATACGTTTTGCACATGTATATTTTGTTTCATATGGTTTATCAAACATCACTGTATAAGCTTGTATAATAATATGAAGGATTGAGTTGGAGATAATTACACACAGGAAGATTCACTAGGGGTGTAATTGAAACCTCATTTTTGATTTAATTATTTATATAAGTGTGGGAGCGCAGCACCAATTTTGTTATAATTTTGATCCCATTCTATCCAGGTGTATAGCCAGGTGTCAGCGGCAACCCATTCCTAGAATAATAGTGTATTCAGGGTAGCGCAGGTGGTTCTCCGTTGTTTTTTGTATCAGCTTTAGGTGTAGTTTTTAAATTTTCTATCAACTCCAGAAGTTCTACGTTTTTCTTTTTTTACTGCTGTTTTTTTTTCACTGATGTTTTATAAAGTTATTCGGGAGCCTGGAAGTCAGAAAAGTGTATCGCCCCAGTAGAACATAAAAATACAGAGGTTACAAAGGCTTTTTTTTTAACGTCTGAAATAATTGTAAGATCTAAGTTGTCCTTGAATATTCTTTTTTTATTATGCAGACAAAGGGTACAATTTTCATAGTTAACATGTTCTTTTTTGAAGAATCGAAGCAAAGCTGAATGTATTAGGTCAGTGTTTTTCTGCTATGGTTCTCAGGGACAGTTGATGGAGCAGGTTTACCAGTCTATTTTGTGAAACCATGTATTTATTTACTATATTTTTACAGGTGACCTCCCTATCCACACAATAAAGGAATACATTTGTAGTCAGTTGTCTGAATAATTCATAGAGGCATACAGGAAACTGCAGCATAGTGAGACTAGCTTATACAGTGCATCCAGAAAGTATTCACAACGCTTAACTTTTGCCACAGTTTATGTTACAGCCTTATTCCAAAATGGATTAAATAAATTGTTTCCCTCAACGTTCTACATTATATCCCATAATGTCAATGTGAAAGAAGTTTGTTTTAAAATCTTTACAATTTATTACAAATAAAAAACGAAAAAAAAAAAAACGTACATAAGTATTCACAGCCTTTGCCATGACACTCAAAATTGATCTCTGGTGCACCCTGTTCCCACTGATCATCCTTGAGATGTTTCCACAACGTGATTGGAGTCCACCTGTGGGAAATTCAGTTGATTGAACATGATTAGGAAAGGCATAAACCTGTCTATATAAGGTCCCACAGTTAACAGTGTATGTCAGAGCACAAACCAAGCATGAAGGCCAAGGAATTGTCAGTAGACAGGATTGTATCAAAGCAAGATCTGGGGAAGGGTACAGAAATATTTCTGCAGCATTGAAGGTCCCAATGAGCACAGTGACCTCCATCGTCCATAAATGAAAGAAGTTCAGAACCACCAGGAATCTACCTAGAGCGGGCCAAAATGAGCGATCGAGGGAGAAGGACCTTAGCCAGGGAGGTAACCAAGCACCCGATGGTCACTCCCGATGGAGCTCCAGCATCTCTGTGGAGAGAGGAGCACCTTCCAGAAGAACAACCATCTCTGCAGCACTCCGCCAATCAGGTTTGTATGGTAGAGTTCCCAGATAGAAGCCACTCCTCAGTGAAAGGAAAATGGCAGCCCGCCTGGAATTTGCCAAAAGGCACCTGAAGGTCTCTCAGACAATAAGAAACAAAACTCTGGTCTGATGAAACAAAGATTGAATTTTTTGGCCTGAATGCCAAGTGTCATGTCTGGCATTCAGGCACTGCTCACCACCTGACCAATACGATCCCTACAGTGAAGCATGGTGGTGGCAGCATCATGCTGTGGGGATATATTTCAGCAGCAGGAACTGGGAGACTAGTCAGGATCGAAGGAAAGATGAATGCAGCAATGTATAGAGACATCCTTGATGAAAACCTGTTCCAGAGCGATCTGAACCTTAGACTGGGGCAATGGTTTATCTTCCAACAGGACAAATGACCCTAAGCACACAGCCCACATAACAAATGAGTTGCTATGGGCCAACTCTGAATGTCCTGGAGTGGCCCAGCCTTGAACCCGATTGAACATTTCTGGAGAGATCTGAAAAGTGTGTGTGCACCGACGCTCTCCATCCAACCTGATGGAGCTTGAGAGATACTACAAAGAAGAATGGGAGAAATTGCCCAAAAATAGGTGTGCCAAGCTTGTAGAATCATACTAAAACTTGAGGCTGTAATTGGTGCTAAAGGCGCTTTAACAAAGTATTGCGCAAAGGCTGTGAATACTTATGTACATGTGTTTTTTTGTTTTTTTTTTTTTTATTTTTTTTTATTTTTAATAAATTGCAAAGATTTCAAAACAAACTTCTTTCACATTGTCATTATGGAGTATTGTTTGTAGAATGTTGATAAAAAAAATGACTTTAATCCATTTTGGAATAAGGCTGTAACATAACAAAATGTGGCAAAAATTAAGCGCTGTGAATACTTTCTGGATGCACTGTATATACTTGGTAAATATAATTTTAACTTTTTATTATACATTATTAAAGCTGAAGAGTAGTGAGCTGATAACATCCTATGCTCTCAGTCAGTGGACAATGAGGAGGGGAGAAGGAGATGTGATGAAAGGGTTTGTGTTCTTTGTGGTATATCAGAAGTGAAGAAGGCAGGGCTGACACCACCTGCTTAGGGATTCAATGCCTTGGTTTTATGTCAAACAGGAAGGTAGGAGCATACTTTTATTTCTGTTTTTCCTGTATTACAGTGTGCTTGAACACAAAAAACATATATTGCAGAGATGTTTTTTTTTTTTCTGACTTGACCTACAATTTTAGACGCAGCTAAGTGGAGTATTTAATGAGTATGTCCAGTGGGATGGGATTAGCTGTACACGCAGGTGTCTGATGCAGACTGTTTGAGTAACAGTAGCCATTGAACAACAATTTCTAATTTGTCCATTTGCTTAACATAAAATTAAAAGTTCCTGTATTACAGCATAAACAAGTTACTATATGATGCACAAGACTTATACATTAGGAAAAAATACCTTCCTGGACTTGGCCAAATCTTTCATTTGTTTCTCGTGTGCACTGCCAGACTGCAACTCACAGTGAAAAGGGTTTCAGCAACAGAGACATTTTTGTCAGTCCAGAAAACCATGTAGAGGACTAGGTGTTTTTGTTGCTGCTTCCTGCCTTGTGTTGTACTTAAAGTTTTTTTGTTTGTCTGTGTTTGTGTGCAAAGTTAATCTGTATGGGAGTGGTTTTCAAATGATCAATCAGCTGCTTCACCTGCAGGGCTCTAATGAGTAAAGTGGCAGCGTCTGCATCCTTTTTAGACATGATTTCCCTTCGGGAATATCTCACCAAAAATTACATTTTTGTTGCAGGGGATGCCCAAAATCATACTTGTATCTTAGTGCAGAGTTCTGGGAAAATCATTAAGTCAATCACTCAAGCAGCAAATGACATTCATGGGGCGTAGTGTACACCATTTGTGTACAGAACGCCTTCAGGTAGCCATACTGCATTGCATTTTACAGAAAATTGCAGTGCTGCAGATTGAAAAGGAAAGGCAATTTTTACTAACATTCAATTACAATATATCTTGAGTTGCAACTGTATACACTTATATTATTTTTTTTAATTTGCAAATTTTTTTCCCACAAAAGTGGAGCTACCATTTAACCTACTTGAGTGGCAACTCTGTTCTGAATTTAGAAGCAGTACAGCGTCATTTCCATTCCATCCCAGGAAGCTGCATTAGGTGGACTTCACTGGCAGGCTCAACAGGTATTTGTGGGACTTTAAGAGGGGAGGGGGGGGGGGGCACATCTAGAAAACTGTAAGGGCAGATTCAGTTACAATTAGGTACTTCAACACTTTTTTCTTTTAATGGATGGCCATAGCTCTATTTTAATCTGTTGAAAAGTGTCAACTCGGGGGCTGCCTATGTGAACCCATAGATAGAGAAAATAGTGGGATTGAGTGATGCCATTTCATGCTTATGGGTAAATATTTTTCAACTTGTAATTTTTTGTTTTCAACTGTTGTTGACTTTAATTCGTTATTTGATGCCTGTTTATTTTACATTTCAGGTTTATCCTTTACATACGCGGTCACATTAGAGACTGTGCTAGCTGGCCATGAAAACTCTGTCTATGCTGTTCATTGGCAGCCTTCTTTCAGAAAAGGTAATGTATGGTCACTTTTGTAGGCTTTTATAAACAGGTAAAGGTGATTTAAATGCTTGCTGTGCCTGGAAAATGTCATCCCATTCAAAATTGATATTTATACATAGTGATGTCCAGTAACATACAAAAAATTAGTGGATACATTAACCTGTCAACATCTAAATATCAACAACCCAAAACTGAAATGTCAGTGCACTCATTCAGATATGCTATTGGACAGCACATTTTAAAAAGATGATTCTAGATTAACATGTAGTATAAAAAAATAATTTTTTTCTTTCTCATCCATTCATGAACACATCAAGTCTTTAACCTGCAGGTTATACTGCTGCCTACAGAAGGACTGGACTGTGACAAACAAAAAGCTTTCATGTGCATGCAGGATAACCCCCTTCTGTTACCAGCATGTTTTTTGATACTGAAGGAAGGAGGACATTATTTTCCAAATAATCTTCTAGGACAGCTACTTGAGAGATGATTGACTCCACCTTCAACAGAAACGTATTAAAAAGTCCCTCCCCCTGACCCTCAGTTGTTGTAAAGAACTTCCACCAATGTACGCGTGGGTAATGTGTTGGTGGTTGAAATTGTTGCCCTAAAAATTACCCTTGTGTACATTGGTGGAGGTTCTTTACAACAACTGAGGATCAGGGGAGAGAGGGGCTTTTTCATCTTTTTCTGGTTTGTGTTTTTTGTTGAAGGTGGAGCCAATCATCTCTCAAGTAGCTGTCCTGGACGATTCTCAGAAATACAGTTATCAGCAGTGTAACCATTGTTTTCTTCAGCTTTGCTGTCAAAGACTAACCTTTGTTAGCACTTTTTTTTTTTCTTTCTGGCTTTTTTTTTTTTCCAACTCTTCTCTACACACTGCTAGAGCTTGTCTGTTTGGAGTGCCATGTCTGGACCCACTTGACTGGACTTTGCAGGTATAGTATGGATGTGACCCTCAGGCACAGGGCTCCACATGAGGTGCTTTCCAGACTCAGTCTGGTAAAAGTTATCTGCAAAGTGCTGTGCTTTCTTTCCTACCATACAGCATTTAAGGAATCCTCTGCCTGCTGCTGTTCCTTCTTGCAAACAGCCTTGGAACACTGCAAACTTTTAAACAGTCCTGCTGTACCCAGTGGCCCCAGCTCATGCTTTCCTATTTTCTATGGGACTGCCTGTAGCAGGCCTACTGATGGTCCTGACATGTACAGGCTGTAATCATATTGTCCTTTGCTCCTAGAGTCGATGCTGTCATCTGAGTCCTTTTCAGCTCTGTTGGGTATGGCGAGATCTGCCACCATCTCAAGGTGGTTTTTACTACGGTCATGCATACTTTATGGCCCAAATCCCCAATTATTTGTTGACTCTGACTACAGAGGCCTCAAGTGTGCTCCTGTGCCTTCCTTTGCAAATTCTTTCCCCTGATGAATCGCAGTTGTTTGCTATTACTTTCAAATTAAGATACTGTTTCAGCTCTTATTGAGGTAATGCTCACCACTAAAACTGAAGAAGCTGCTTATACCAGGCAAAGACTCTTCCATTGCACTTTCTTTACCAACTCTTCCCTTATGGAAATTGGAAACACAGATACAGTATTTGCTCCCTTGAAGTGCTCTTTACGCTTGTACTCATTGGAGAGGATTTGTACAAAGTGTAATACCCCCACTGTGCCTCTGGCAGTGTCCTGGTTCTTACAGTTTCAGTAGAGGACACATCCCTTTTAATGAGCCAACCGATAAGATTTTGGAAGCCCTCTCTTTTTCTCACTGGCGAGTTCTGCCCTCACTCCATCCTGGCTATGACTCTACTTTATCAAACCATGGCTGACGAGTAAAAATCCCTTAAATAACACTACTGTGGTTGATCCCTTGGTTGTAGGAGTGATGCAAATGACTGGAGCTGTAAATTGTAATTGTACTGGTTTGCTATAAGCTTCCCTCATGTCTTGCATGTGTCTGATGTCAGTACACATGCAAAGGGCACTTTACTTAAAGTGCTAGACCGCAGAGCCTTTGTGTAAGAAGTGTTTGATCTGCGGGCTCTGTTGGACAATGTGGAGTTGATTGTCCAGATTTTGCACCAGTTCGGGAGGTTCCTAAACCCTTAGAAATAATTGAAACTAACTCAATGTTTGGAGTGTGTGTCAAATCCTGGATACAGCTTGGCCAGAGTGTTTATTTTACAGGGAAACTTCAGACACTCTGATCTTCGAGGCATTTCTGTTTGCCCATTTTATCTCTAGACATCTACAAGGCAACATTCTGTTGTTGTGAGACAAATTCATAACATCCCTGGATAGGTCAATTTGTGTGCCACAGAGGTCCACATTGTCCCTGGATTGATTGCTTAGGAGTCTAGCTCTGGAGCTTGGGAAGTCCTTCCTTCCTGTCTTTTGGAGGATCTTAACGAATGATATCAATCTGGAAAGAAATTCTGGGCACCCTGCATAAGGGGACTTATGCTAGGCACACATTGGATGTTTTTTTTTTTTTCTTTCGTTCAAACCAGCGGGCTGGTCGAAAAAAAAATTGGAGAGATCGCCGTACTAACACAAGCTCCCCTACTGTGTCTTTGTGTTCTGAAAAGGAACCCCCCCACCAGAACATTGATCAGCGTTAGTAGTCATTGGCTGTAAGCACTGATCGGATGTGAGTTGGATGCTGATTTTCCAGCATGCTGGTTCAACAGATTTGCAGTCTATGTACACTTTAAATAAATCCCACAAACCAACAAAGATTTCCCAGCGCACTTACCAGCTAGCCTGCAAAAAAATCCATATTGAACCTGTCCAATAATTCACGTTAAAAACAGAGGATTTTATTTATACACATTTGCAAATATATGCGCAGTAACTTTATCAGGGCTCCTCTGTGTACTGCTGTGCTAACTCTTTATTTTTCAGAGTTTCAAAAGTTGTAGCACATATAGCAGTGGGTGGCAGGAAAGCACTGTGGCTTACGCATACATTTGCAATTGTGTGCAAACTAAACTTTGTTTTTAACGTGAATTGTTGGACAGGGTCAATTTTTTTTTTTTTTCTTGCAGGCTAGCTGATAAGTGTGCTGGGAAATTCTTTGATTGTGATGTGCGTTGCCCTTTCGTGTGCACTTTACTTCGTCTAGTTATATGTTGGGGTGGCTGCCACTTTTTTGTACAGTTGTTTGCAGGGATGCTCTGGCTACCTTCAACTGCCATTGTGCTCTTGCTGGGCATCCCATGTGTACTTTTGTATTTAAGGATCTATCCACTGCTATATGTGCTCTAATTTAGGAGCCTGAAAATGATAGAGTTAGGACCACAGTACACAGGGGAACCTTGATATAGGCACTGTAGCTTACACATATATTTGAAAATGTGTGCAAACAAAAGCCTGTGTTTTTAACGTGATTTGTTGGGTGGGATCAATTTAGTTTTTTTTGCAGGATAGCTGGTAAGTGTGATGTGTGTTTCCCTTTCATGTGCACCTTATTGCAAATACTAGTTATAGGTTGGGTTGTTGCCACCTTTTTTTTTTGCAACCCTTTCGCGGCAGAGTGGACAGGGTTTACTCTTCTGCAGCCACCTTGTAATGCAGTCAGTGTAAAATTGGTGGGCACAGGGTAGTCTGGTGGTTTTGGCTTCCTCTTTCATCTCCATTAGACAGATGCTGCACTTAGGCAACTTGTCCCTGTGCTGGTTATAGACAGGTGGACTCTGGAAGCTACCTGGTTGTGGCTCATTCTGATCAACTTGAGAGTAGTTATTGTCAGAGTTCTGACATCTTCCAGAACTCTAGGACAGCTGTACGTCAGGCTCTCGGGCCAATATTAAAACTCTGGATTTTCTTATATGATGTATGTGAGAAACTTGGCCTGCAAAAATATTGAGGTTTAGTAAATGGGAGATTTTCTCTCCTCTCTAGTGCTAAAGACATGTTCAAAATCTTATATCTTTGCTTTTAATTTTTTCATTTGTGTAAAGTGATCTTGGGACATTGTCCTCAGTAGAATGTCCTTCTATTGCATTCTCTATATTATCAAATATATTTAGTATCCAATAAGAGGAATAACCCCCCCATAACTGCTGCTACAGATATATAGTGCAAGGAGTTCCAGGGCAGGACAAACCTGGAACAATTTTCTGCACTGCTAACCTAATATTCATAATAAATATGATCACCAGCAATGTATATACTCATTTGTATATCTGTATGGAGGATGCATTGATCCCCATGTATATAGCCTCAAACCAAAACATTTCTTTTCTTGTTTTACATAGGACAGTTACAGCTTAGAGCCTCTGGTATGTTTTATTGCTTCCTGGGGAACCAGTAGGGAAATTTCTACTCCCTTCCTCAGTTACACCAGGAGCTTAACTGTTACCGTCACTGAGATCTCAGTTTTGTGTGGACTGGCCCTTTTAAGAGCTGCATGTTGTCTGGCAGCTAAGGAGATGGTTTGAATAAACCAGTAGACATGATTCTTAGGCTGGTATGCACTACAAGTTTTTTTTTTTTTTTTCTTTTTTTTTTTCGTTCAACCTACCAACAGAACACAGGAAGATTGGTGCAGTGGCCTCCCTCACTGTGCTATTGTATTGTAACAAGGGGACTCAATCCCCCAGCTAGAATACACCGATCAGCACTCGCAGCCATTGACTGCGAAGAGCTATTGGATGATTCTGGTTTTTCAGCATGTCCCTTTGACCCAAGCTGGTCATTAGACCAATAAGTAAACTAAATGAATGAGTCCACACAGCAACCGCCTTATAGGTGCAAATCTGTGATTCCTGTGATAATAAATGGATGTGTATTGCACTAACCAGAAAGCGCAATAAGATGTACATTTGAGTAATTCAGACCAACTCCTGGTCATCTGGATCTGGACAGCAGGACTCTGGGGGTCATCTGGCAAACCTCAGCATGTCGGGCAACACTCGGCATACATCTTCGGGCTCCAGGGATATGATATCCATCCAGCAGGGGGAATCACTCATGGGTGCAGTATCAATACAAGGGGTTCACCTTAAGGGGG